AATTATACATTTTCAATTACAGTATTAGTATTTATCAGCTAAATTATTTTACTTTAACAAGTGTTTTGCTTTGGTTTTCAGAGATAATGAATTTCACTTACCAAAAACAAATACTACAAAGCACAACAAGGACGCCTTACCTAAGAAAAGTACCAAATTTATTGCTTGGATGGTGTGTAACAAGATATATGAGGCGTCCATAACCTTTCTCTATACAGAACTCTCACATAAATTTGTGTGGCATGTCAAATATAATAAATGGAGGCCTCGGTTAAAGGGTGAAGGGAATTCATGTATTCTTCAACCCTTTTCAATTGCTAATGGGGAGATTTTTTATTTGGGTTATCTGTTGAATATGATAAGAGGTCTTTGCTGTTATGAAGATATAAGGACCTTTAATAGTGTTATATACAACAATATCAAAGAAGCTTGCTATTCAAGAGGGTCTGTCTCGTTCTACTACGCTTAAATGTCTATCTAATTTTACCATTTGTAAGTCGTATGTCAAATCTTTCTTACATGAATTTACTATCTTTTAGTTGTTTTAGGTGGTGTTCCATGTTTGGAGAATACAAAGCGCTAATTTATCAAATACTTAGTTAAATTATATTCTTATACATAAATACTACATTGCTAGCCGATAGATATTACATAATCATGAAGAGAGCCAAAAATATCCGCCATATTAAGTTTGACATAAAGTTAATATTTTACCATTGTTGACCAGAAAAATCAGTCAATACTTTCAAATACACTGTTATTATGGTAAATCGAAAGTTAGATTTTTATGCTGTTTAATCGTAAATGTGTTATTGTTGAACAGAAAAAATATCTTAAAGTATCTTAAATTTAATAAGGAAATGATTTAATATTTTAACTAAAACTGACATATGTAACTATTATAATTCCTGTTTAAATTTCTTATAATAAAATTAAAATGAAAGTCATTATCTAAATTTGTGCTTATACATGAAAAAAAATTATAGAAAAACATTACGACTTCCATTAGTTAGGATTCTATCTGTTAGACGAATTAATTTTTAAAAATAATGGACCTTACTTGGGTCTCACTTGACAAAAAGTACATAGTTAGTACTTTCTCTTTTCTCTTACAGTGCCGAAACAATGAATCTATTTCGTTTAGTCTCATACTTGTAAGAGACTACAAAAATAAACTAGAAATACATAATTTCTTTGATGCACATATGTTCTTTGTGCGTCTCTCAGAGGATGAGAACAGAAGAAGAGTTCTGAGATGGTTGTCTTTGAATCTCTTTATTTTTTTATTTTTTTATTGGTTACTTGGAAAATCATTTGTTATATTGTTTATTTTATAGAGTAAGTAGAAACTGTTCACTTTCCATATTTATCTGTGTCTTTTCATATTTCCCCGAAAATCATTTTGTCAATTAAAACTAATTAAGTATTGGTTGTATTAAATGATATTGTATTTTTAAAGGAAATACATTCAGTTTAAATAAGACATATAATAACTTTTCTCGATTTTTAAGTTAACTTTGACTTCATCCTCACTGCTTTCCCAAAAAGACGCATTCTTGTGAAATCAATTAATCGTTATCTCTATTACAATCAATTTTTTACTTCTATTTACATTTTATTAAATATCTAGATAAAACAAAATAATGTGCTTCCACCTGTAGATTTATCTTCAACATTTTTATCTTTATTCAACAATAAAAATTATATATAATAATAACCACAATCAAGTCTTTATCATTTTAACCAGTTAATCATATATTTATTACAACCAATTCATGTCACTCCTTACAAAATACTCCATTTTTAGTAAATTGCAAATCATTGTTCAATGAAAAAAATATTACACAACTCCTCCGACTTTGTTATACTACTTTCTACATCAGTAACTAACCCAATCACTTTTAATATCTTAAATATCGGCCAAATTAAATTCAATTTATATTAAATGTTAATTGCCTGCACATGTGTAAGGGATATGTATAACAACATGAGCCCATCAGAAACCATCATACTAACTTTTAATATACTTTACATCGGCCCAATTACATTTAATTTTTAGAAAAACATTCTAGTATGTATATGCATGCAAGCCAATATCATAGTAAAACATTAAAGAATCTACATAATACATATAATCAAAATAATAAAAAAAACATTAAATTTTGCATTAAAAGTTGAAAACATCATATAATTGAGAACAAAATTAATTTCTTTTTTTTTTGGTCAACAGCCTAGATACCTAGAACGGTTAAGAAATCCAAATCGGGGGAACCGAGTTTTCATACATAACATCGTGTGGGTAGACTCGTGTACTTCGTGCTAGGTTGTCTGCCTTCATATTCTTTGCGCGCGGAATGTGTGATATTGAAAAAAAGGTAAAAGCCTCTTTACTCTTCACAAACTCCTCCAAATATAAGTCAAAAGCTGGCCATTCTTCTGGTGTCGACACCATCTTCACCAATTCAGAACAGTCTGTTGCAAAAACTACCTTCGTCTTCTGGTTTGCATTCATGCATAGCATAGCCCAGATAAGTGCTTCTAGTTCAGCATGTAGTGGCGATAAGCTTCGTCGTACATTCCTTGCTCCTAGTATTTTTTCCTCCACTCCATCTTTAAAATAGTACCATCCTAGACCGGGCGCTTTGTCCGTGTCTTTCCAAGACCCATCTACATAGCACCACCACCCCACATAGCGGGAGGTGATAGAAGGGTTGTTTGCCATTTGCAGTTGGGATACCGATTTGCTCTGTTGTGCTTCTTCCCAAAGTTTGGCTTCCGTTTCTGCAATCCGTAGTGTTATTTGCGGGTCCTTATCGATATTTGAAAACCACTTTTCGTTTCTTGCTTTCTAAATGTACCATACTATCCATGGAAACTGTGTGTTTTGATTCTCCTTCGGAATTCTCCAGAAAAGATGATCAAAATTTGCAAAGACCGATGACATTGGAAAAACACCTGTAGGAGAGGGTATCTGAGATAGAGCCCATACTTGCAACGCAGGTGGGCATTCAAAAAGAGCATGGTTTATTGTTTCTTCCTCTGCTCCACACCGAAAGCATTGCGTATCACATTGAATTCCCCGATTATTTAAATTTGTCGCCAGTGGCAAACATCCTGTTATAACCTGCCAAATGAAATGTCTTAGTTTAGGAGAGCATTTCAGCTTCCAGCTTTGTGCCTGTAACTTTGTAATGTCTGGTCCAAAAAACTCCTCATATTCTGTTTGTGAATATTGGTTCTCCACTTGGTAACCAGATTTTACCGTATAACGTCTTGTTTTTGTAAAAAACCAACCGAGAGAATCTGGTATATACATATTGCTTATAGGCATACTCCGTATTATTTCTACATCTCGTTCATCAATAATTGCGTTCAGTAAGCCCAGATTCCACGTATTTGTCGCTGGGTCAATCAAATGATTTGGAGGAGTTTGTGAAGAGTAAGGAGGCTTTTACCTTTTTTTCAATATCACACATTCCGTGCGCAAAGAATATGAAGACAGACAACCTAGCACGAAGTGCACGGGTCTACCCACACGATGTTATGTACGTAAACTCGGTACTCCCAGTTTGGATTTCTGAACCGTTCTAGATATTTAGGCTGTTGACAAAAAAAAAAAAATGGCCCACTTAGAGCTCTCGATTCCTTATGACGGCTCAACAAAGCAGCCGCCACGTCCTACCTATTTAAAGTTTGAGAATAGTTCGAGGGCGTTGCGCCCCCGATGCCTCTAATCATTGGCTTTACCCGATAGAACTCGTTTCCGAGCTCCAGCCATCATTTATAAAAAGAATGGACAGATTATTTTTTTTATCTGCTTTTTGAATGTTTATCATAACCTGGTTTTTGAACACTAATAAAATGATTTCCATTTCAAACTTACCTTATAAAATTTTATAAACATACGAAAATATATAAAAAAGGGTAGCAATAATAAAAATAGACAGCAAACAATAATTTTGGTGTCTGGTTGTCGGATATAGAAGAAATACTACTAACAATAATTTTGTGGGAGCTTTAAATCCCCGACAGGCACTTTTCTCCCTGGCATCAAAGCTGGGATGGGATCACTTAACGGATCATGAAATAGACTCATAGGAAAAAAATGGCTTCAGCACGTTAACCTTGTCCGCCTTGTTGGCTATCTTTCTGATGACCAAGAAAAAAATCTTGGTGTACGACGAGTACCTACCAAACGAAAGTAGAGATTATAACGAATGTAGAAAAAGATCGATATGGCTCTTTTTATTCCAAATTTGAGACAAGAGGTTCGAGATTACCAATGTGTATTGCTCGAGAGGACTTTTATATCCTCTTCACCAAAAACAAGATTCAGGATTTAGGATCATACACCTTGACATCAAACCTCGAGAAAGATTTGATCCCAAGGATCTCCGATTTTGGATTGGCCCAGGCCCTTAGAAGGGATGAGACGGAAGCAATTTCTCCGACTGTGGCCGGGACATTGTGAGCAATCATCACATCCTGATTAATTTTAAAAACCCCTAATCAAGCTCTTATATAAACTGTTTCGTTTTAAAATGTTATTTCTGCTAATGCTATGATGCAAGGGGTACAAGTTACCGGTATGGGTCTGTTCTTTTAGGAGACATTGCGGTAGCGACAGCAGCAAAAAAAACTGTGCAAAACGACAGTGATCCCCTGCAGATAACAGAATGATACGACTGTAACGAAACTGTTTGGTGTCATATTAGTGTCGCCGAGAAAAAACGCCACCGATCATTTTACACATTAGCTGTAATGCTAAAAATAATAGCGTCTATAAGAGACCCCACAGATAACACCGGCAGCAAAGCAGCGACTGATTTTGTTGCTGTCGCTTTACTCTCCATTATAACTATTTTTTGTTCGCCGCTGCGTCCATTTAACGAACAGACCATACTAAAAATCTATTTTATTTCAAAGATTTCTAAATTTTATTGTTTACAACACAGTTTTCTTTTCTATTTATAATAAACAAACAAGAACAGTAATCACTGTTTCATAAAATAAAAATAGATTCTCTTCAACACTGCAAACCTAGATAAACAATGACAAATTATTTGTTTTCCTAGAAACAGTTCAGTAGGGGGGGAATAAATAAATAAAAAACTGTTGGAAAGGGAACATGTTTTTTTTTCTTTGTACACAAGCAAAAAAACAAACAAACAAACTACTCAAACACTATCAGAGCCAATAACCTGCTTTTTTATTTCACTAATTTTTGTCTTGAGTTCTTCTCTGTCCCTCTGCAAATTAAGTTAAATTGTATACATCTAAAATGAGAAAAACGACAATCAAAATGTATACATATAATCTCAGTTGATTAGGCATATTTATTCCTTACCTTAAATACCAAGTAACGGGTGGTGAACCAGAGTGTGTATCCGAGACCAACCACTTCCATCAGCTTAGGAAACTGAAACATGAAAAAATGAAAAGCTTACTTCATATTATAATTAGTCTACGTTAATAGAAAGAAACGCCTCCAGGGTACTAACCAGAGGAATTGATTCTAGTGAACCAACAATTGCAGAAGTTATGTAGAGAGCAACTATTGCACCACTTCCATAGAGCAGGAGTGAATATGTGTTGTCTGCGTCCAGCTGCAATTAACAAATCCAAACATCAACTGCTTAACTGATGATACCTTTGAAATTGAGAAGTTTCAAGAGATACTCTAAATTAAAAAAAAAAAAAAAAAAAAAAAACAACCAAAGGACTACTAAGTGGAAAAAATAGAAACTAAAGAAGAATAATACTCATGGCAACAAACTCTTTTTGCATTCAGTGCAAATAGAAACAAGGATGTGTAACAAAGGTTTAACAGATCCTTTATTCAATATGAATGGCTAGTGGAAAGAGTTCTACGGATACTATCCATAGTCAAACATTTACTGTAGAGAGATAAATGTAACATCCATGCCTGCTTACAATCTAATCAACGAAAGTGCTCAATAAGCATTTCGATACACTTTTCTAATAATCAGAGGTATCATCACAGTAACTGCGCCGTTTGCAGAAGAAAATAAGAAACAGAAACATCAAACTTAGACAACTAAGCTACCTTATAGATGAAATGAAATGTTTTTCACTACCTAGTGATTCACAATACAACTTTATGCACAACAACCAGTGTTTAACATTCCCCTCAAGTAAAACATAAGATTTTGAAACACCTCTCAAGATAATATATAACATACCTTTATATCGTTCAAGAACTCTATGGCCTGAGATTGCTCCTCTTCAGCTTGAGCTTCGCTACTCAGGTTTTTCTCTTCTGTAACTACATCCCCATCACGCTCCTCAACACCAAATTCATCGACTCCAGTTGATTTTTCTTCAGAAACTGTTTCTCCTGGAAACTTTCCAGTACAGCGCAACGCGCCTTGCCATTGAAACGCACACGATAGCATCAGAGTTACAATAATGTAACCATGAAAATTACTCTAGCAGATCAAAAATTACGATTAAACTATTCATTTCAAGGCAACAAAAAACACTGTATTATATCTACTGACTAGAAAATTGAACTCCGAAAACAATCCAACCCAAAAATCGAATCAAGAAAAAAAAGGACGCGAATCAATCAGGGTTTCAAAAATCATACGCCTTATAAACAAAAACGCGAGGAACAATGAGGGAATCAAATGGGTTTCTCAGTTTCTCGTACGTACGGGATTGAAGGCGGAGAGATGCAGACTTTCGCTGGAGAGGGAGTGAGATTCTACGAACAGCGTTTCCCGCCAAATATCCATGGTGAGGGGTGCTCGGAGGGAGATGAGTAATTTTATTGACTGAGCAGAGCTCCATTTTCGTACGGACGCTCGAAAGTCATTTCCCCTTCTGAGATTTGTGATTTATAAAGAAGGTGTAGAAGAAAGCAAAGCCCTCTAGGGTTTTACGAGCTGTGATTAACATTTGGGTCTTTGGCCCAATTACAATTAAATAGGCCCGTTATGAATAATTTCGTTTTATCTACTATCACTCTTATTTATTTCGTTTCGTAAAATATCAAATAAACAAAAATCTATAAAACAATTGAGTAAAAAAATAAAATCGACGAGTTCTAGATTTTCAAACCAAATTATCAGCCCAAAAAAATGTACTAGATTTTGTTTCGATTTCTATATATTCACGTGATGAAAAACCAAAAAGGAATGCAAAGAGGAAGTGGAAAACCTCTAGCTGATGGATGGCACGACAGATGCCCCATGGCTCCCAATTCCTCACATGGATGCATCCTAGATTGGTTATAGACCGGTCAGTAGACTCAGATGGTGTCTAAGGGACCACCATGATAAAAAACACCATCGATATGCAAGGGAGACTTAGAAGCCTATCATTTGTATACGCAGAGCATGATAAGCTCTCTTATAGGGAAGGTCATGTGTAAGAGAGGAAGTGGATCTAATCAACTAGGTTCGATACTGATTGCTTGGATTTGCTAAAGATGTTTGAGAAACCGACGGATTGGCCTCCCTTCAAAACCAAACTAGATTACCTTTGACCTATTGTAGAGTTTTTTTGAGCAATTTTAATTTTTGTTTACCATTTAACCAACAAATCTAGTATAAATATTTGTGCCAACTCTTTTATATATATTAAAAAAAAACACTAATAGGTGGTTGTTTTATTTGGTGAATTGCATGAATATTAATTTTGAAAAAATAACAGTAGTCAACTGTCCACAATGTAGAAAGAATTTATTACACTCCAGCCCACTTATCCACTTTTTATTACGTGATAAGTGACTTTTAGAATATAGGTGACTTTATACTCGTAGAAAGACATCGATACCCCTCCGTTATTTCTGACCCGTTTCTTACCCCTCACATTCATCTCTTTATCTTCTCGCTGTAAAAAGATATTTACTGAAATCGCTTTATTTTCTTCTTCGCCGACTTTGCCGACTTCGCGATACAAAGTCACCCCGGCTTCGCCAGCAACGTCTCCGAGTAGCTGCTAACCCCCGCTCCTGTAAGTCAAATTTCTCTCTTACTTCAACCGGATTTTAATCAATTTCCGTATATTTCCGAATTCAACTTATCATCTCCTTCGTCCGCGTCACAGGCGAAGAAACCTACCGGAACTTAATTATAAACCAGAGAAACTCTCCAACACTTTCTTTCGCTCATGGATGGTAAATATTGACAAACTCGTACCTTTTCTAAATTAGTTTTAAACTAGATCTAGGGTTCTGTCCCGTTTTTATCTTCTTTTATCCACAACCTGATTGTTTATTAGATCTGGGGTCCCATATGTTTGTCTTTCTTGCTTGTTAACGGTTACCACTCTGTTTTTTTACTCAAAATTCTTTAATTATTACACCAGATAACTCAACGTGGGACGAGAGGCTTCCTACACGACTCTTTGCTACTGACCGTTACCCCAGCAATCGTTTGAATATATACTCAAAGCCAGATACACTTATGTGGATTCAGGACACTTTTGAAAACACACCAGTCTTCGAGGAAATCAGAAATTCTTGTTTTGGTAAGTTATTTGAGTTCCTGGTTGCCAGATGTCCTATCTCGTGCAAGCTTGTCTATGGTCTTATGGCGCGGCAACTCATAACCAAACGAAAATACGAGATGTGGACGGTTTTTGGTGGACAACCTATGCGTTTTTCATTGAAAGAGTTTGGCCTGATATCTGGACTACCGTGCGGTGAATTCCCGGAGGACCATGACCCAGATTACGAAATGAGAAACGACCCCAAAAAGCCTGATCCTTATTGGCGGGAGCTCCTAGGTGACGACCTCAAAATATCATGCGCTGACATCGCGGCTATGATCAAAGGTGATCCAAACATGCCTGATTCCAGAAAACTTCGTCTCGCCCTTATCCTCATTCTCGACGCTGTCTTGATATCCTCTCAACAAACTCATTGTCCCACTTTGAAATATGTCCGGATGCTAGAAGATCTCGATAAGTTCTATAAGTTCCCTTGGGGTAGGGAATCTTTTTACAAAACCATTACCACTCTTCGTCCGGCCAGGAAGATCATGGGAAAATGTGAAGACCCCATTGGCACTTTCAGACAACAACTCTGCCAAGCTACCTATCGGGTTCAAGGATTTCCACTAATTCTTCAGCTTTTTACCTTCAATTCTATCAGTGGCCTACCATCGAAGCTCCCAATAGCATATGATGATCACACTATCCTAGATGTCACTAGCGTTGGCTTCCCACAAATACCAACGCTAACTCTATCCGACATTTTAGATGTCGAGACTCAGGAAGATGTAATATTCATTACTTTCTCATTTCCCACTTTCAATCCCTATCTCATTCTTTTATCTCAATGCAGCTACATGTCATTCTTTACATGGAATTCGACCACCAACCTGAGGAAGGATGGGGTGAGTGGGATGACGAGGTCAAGGATAGGAAAGTTGCTTATATGGAGGATCTTATCAGCAATGGACACTTATTCCCTCAAGACTGTTGGCCTGGTGAAGATGCGTCGCTACCCCAAATTGTTCACAAGCCATACAAGCAGAAGGTTTAGCATAAAAAACACATTGTCGACAGGAAGAAGCTAAAAAAAAAAAATCAGGATCCCAGAAGTCTCTGTCTGTTAAGAAATCCAAATCCTCTTCTAAGAAGCCTCTCACACGTCGGACTACAGCATCTCACGCTGCCAATGCTCCCGCAGACCTCGAAGAACAAAACCAATGGCTTTTAGTTCAGGTCAAAGATCTTTTGCAAAGAACCGCCAAGCTTGAAGCCAAGCTCAAAAACAAAACTCCTTTTGTTGGAAACCGCTCAAGCCGACGTCATTTGCGGAGTAGTACAAGAATAAAAAATCCCAGCCAGCGGGACAAATCAACCACTCCACCCGAGCGGTCTCTTTCACCACCGTCCTCCCAACAACCAATTATTGGTCTTTCCGACGAATCCAATCTTCCTCATTGGATGACCCCGGAAAAGAATGTCAGCACCCCGGAAAAGAACGGTCCTGATTTATGGGAGCTAGAGGTTCGTACTATCATTATTATGTCTTCACGTCCTTCCTTTTGGTATGTGGTGCTGACACAAACTAAAGTGGTTCAGCAATATAGGACATGGCTCTCCACAACGACTTTGATGAATGGATGTCGACGAAAACATCCGACAAACAGAATTTGCCCCAAAAGGTAAGGTCCTCTTACTGTCTATTATGCCTCCCTTCCTTTTACGAAATTCTTGCCTCATTATGAATCCCCTCCTCTTCTCATATTCCAGAATGACGATCAATTAACCACCCCCAAGGAACCAGTTGCAGACTCCTCTGATTATGTACCGGTCCAAATGGACCACGACTCACAAGATTGTCTTTCGCCGAACATAACTGATCCCACTCTGCAAGACCAACCGACCTCCAGTAATCCGAAGCAGATCCCACTTCCCAAGGAGCCACTTATTGCTGATCAGGTTATAAAAATTTCCCTTACTTGTTGGTTTTTAATCTACACTAGCTTTTACGTGAACATATAATATAGGGCATGGCGGTTGACCACCATGATGATGAACGCCCGTCTAAGAAAACAGAAGAATTCAACCACTTTGTGTAGCACGCGGTAATGTCCTATGACATTTCCAAAAGTATATACCCATTAAATACTGTTTTCAATATTACTAACTTTTTCCCAGAATGACAAGAACGACCGCTCACACGCATCCGACCAAGCCCTGCCCGAGTCTACTGATTTTGGTACGCTCCAAAGTGAACAAGCATTGCCAGTTCCCTCTCCCAATGCCGGGGATTATAGTTCACTCTAGCCAATCGACAGTCCCCCCAAGGAACCACTTAATCATTATCAGGTATTACAAATGCCAGAAAAACTATATCCTGCATCTGTATATGTTATTATTGCGAACCATAACCGTACTTCATCCATAAACCATTCCGACTCAACCAAACACAATGAACACATGGTTCACTCCTTCGAAGGTGGACAAGTACACATGGACGTCGACAATGACGCAAACAACATAGAAGAACCCTCGTTTGATGGGGGATAAATTCTTGACGGCCAGATCTTATATAGCATGGTAAAACTATACTTAATTCCCCTAAATATTAATCATTTAGCTGCTTACTACCATTCTCATTATTCAATTCACAGACTGGGCCTCAAGCACTTATCTGTGGAACACCAATGGAAGAGACTAGACCTCAAGCTGTTTTCTGTGGAACAGCAGTCCAAGATCAATTGGTAACATTTTCAAAAACTCTTTTCGAAATAACTATGACCTAATTTTACGACAATACCATAAAGGAACAAATCGTCTTATCTACGGTATCTTTTAGGAACCTCAGAGACAAGGTCACGTGATCGAGAACCTAAGCAATACCCATTCTGTATCTCAGACGACCATGCATCTCGAACCCAATTCTGATGTACAAGACCTAATGGATAAACAGGTTTTTACAAATTTACATAGCAATAAACCTATCGAAACCACCTCTTATATACCCTCTCTAAAACAGGAACTCAAGCTAGCTTTGTGTAAATCACCGACGATAGACCTTGTCTCAGCGTTTCCCAAAACTGATATCGAATTTCAAGAAAGCTTACTAGACTCTCTCATATAAGCTTACTAGATTCTCTTCCACTTCGTATAATTATTTCCTTCACAGGATGCTGCTCTCGTGGATCAGCAATTGATTTACAATGTCCTCTCTGAACTCTATAATCAGCCGCCTATAAAACATTCAGACGAACAAACTATCGGTCAAGCCATACCTTCTCAACACAATGACATCGTCCATGAGTCCAAGGTCAATCCAATTAAGATTTAAAATATGTCAATCAATCGTTAACTATTTTTATTGATTGTTATTCATTCTTATAGGATGATCCTCAAAACAATGAAGTCATTGGATCACCCGTTTATGTTAGTGACTCCTCGCCTCCTACGAAAAGGATAACCCACATCCCTTCCGAAATGGAAGACAAACTAGCCCATTATTTTAAAAACAAACAACCACGTCATCCTGCTGAACTAATTACAGTTGTCCCAAGAGATGAATGGTCTTTGTTCTACAAAACACTATCCTCTTCGCCGAAAGTGTAAGTTTCACATCCCAGGAAAACGCACTCCTTCCTATACTAATATTAAATTTCTAATAACTCGATAATTCAGGTTACATTTCACCAAAGCAAAATGCGACTTTGACAACCAATTCTTGCTAGACCTGGGGAAGAGTTCCGGCTGGATTAGCACAATGGTAATGTCTTTCTATCCTGTTACCAAACCTATTCTTTTCTGTATTCTACCCATTTCCCCACATTGACCGTTCTCCTTTTTCTTTACATCATATGGAAGTATTAATGGACTTCCTAACTTCCCACCATCACCAAGTTTTACAAAGTCAGCGTCTATGCTTTGCATCGCCGTGGCTCATAAACCATCTCCAGGGAAAACACAGAAGCGTTATGAAGGCCAAGCACAAAGACTTAATACATTGGGAATCAAGGATAAGGGATTTTGTAGTCGCACCCGGGAAGACATGGTTCCAAGACGTTGGAATATTTATCGAGCTCAAACTTTGGGCTGTGTTTGTTCTTGACAGTAACCCCATTCTCAATAAGGACACACAAGTGGCCTCCCTACTACAACCGGTGCTCGAGCTTCTTCCCCTCCTCATAAAAAAACTATGCAGCCGCACTGACACCATGGATTTCATTCAACCTACGCCCTTCAATTGGTCGCGATCCAAAGATCTGTACGTAAACTTACGTGGGGGGATTGCGGACCAGTCGCCGTGAAGTTCATGGAACTGCATGCTTACGGAGACCCGCAACCGTGTATGTTTGGCCTCACTGATGCAATGGTCGACAACTTTAGTAAGCAGTATGCAATGGATATTTACCAAGCTCTAGTTGCCCCTTTGCATTTCCCAAACAACTAAGTATCTCGAACTGACTGCTTGGGAATTTGTTTCTGTACTATATCCCTACTACGGGTGTTCCCTACTTGGAATTTATGTACCAAATCTTTTATCTTTTCAGTAGGATCAATAACTACTACTTACAATGTTCAATCGTATTAACTTGTATCTTTGGACATTATTGTGGATACTATATTATGTACCATGTAGTTTACAACAAAGTTATGTACTGGAATAGTATGTTCAACCTTTTAGTGGTCACGAGTCATTTGGGGCAAAATACATATCCATGTTATCCACTACAAATCCTATGCACTGATCAATATGGACACCAACTACTGGACAGTTGTTTTTACTCCACGAACAGTACTTGTTCATGGGTTACCTTAACTGGACAACAGGTCTTCATGTTCCAATCATTGAAACCTTTTCGGCCCAAAACACTTCCAAACACACTTCAACTCATATGTACCTATCCTTTTGGACAACACTCTGTGGAGACATGCACCCTAACCACCTTCTATCTTTATATTAGGACCAAATATTGTGGATACCATTTCGTGGACATAATATAGGGTTCACGTGCATTAAACACTGTACTTAACCATTTTGGACACCTTCAAATATATTACCTGTTACCAGTCTTTGTGGCTTACATATTGTGGACTGTCTTCTTATATGTGTCATGTCGTTTAGTCAACCTGAAATGGACAACATCTTCTCGACAACAGGTAATATCCTTCCGTTTGGCCAACATAACTTGGACAACTTCTTGTGGACAGAATATCGGCTCCACGCACATGAAACAGTTTGCGATGACTACATACTAATGGCTAACATACTGTGGACAGTCTTCTTGTTCTGTACATGTTGTTTAGACCATCTTTCCGGCCAAATACACTTTCAAATACACTAAAAATCCTATGCACTAATCAATTTGGACAACAACTACTGAAAGATGGGCTTGATTATGGGTGCCACGAACAGTCCATGTTCATTGGCAACCTATTCGGCCAAATACACTTCCAATACACTACCACTAATATGTACATATCATTTTGGACAAAATTCTGTGGAGATGTGGACCTAATAATGTCGACAACATTTCGTGTCCAGGTTTTATGGTTCCCGTACATGAAACACTGTGCTACACACTTAATCCTTGTTCACACTTTCAAATATATTACTTGTTACCCGTCCTTGTGGCTTACATATTGTGGACTACCTTCAGTTTGGACCAGATAATTTGGACAACATCTTCTGGACAACAACTAGTGAAAGATGGGTTTAATTATTTTGTCGTGAGCTTAACTGGACAAAAGGTCTTCATGTTCCAATCATTGAAACCTTTTCGGCCAAATACACTTCCAATACACTACCACTCATATGTACCTATCATTTTTGATAACATTTTGTCTATAACCTTAACTGGCTAACAGGTCTTCATGTTCCATTCATTGAAACCTTTTCGGCCAAATACACTTCCGAGACACTACTACTAATATGTACCTATCATTTTTGGACAAAAGTCTATGGAGAGGTGGACCTTATATTGTGGACAACATTTCATGTCCAGATTTTATGGTTCACGTACATGCAACACTGTTCTACAAACTTAACCATTGTTCACACCTACATATTTATTACTTGTTACCCGTCCGTGTGGCTAACATCTTCTGGACCAGATAATTTGGATGACATCTAGTGGACAGAATTTACGGTTCTCGCATACGAAACCCTTTGCGATGCCTACAAACTTACAAATATGGACCATACACTTCTAAGTTATCCACTACCAATTATATGTACCAAACATTTTGGACAACATTTTGTCTATACATCTACAAATATGGACCATACATTACACCAAACATCTAAGTTACACATGTGCTACTTACAAAGGACTACTTAGCGCCCCAGTTTAATGATGAACAGGAAATGCGAAGAAAAACTATGACGGAACATCTCGCCCATATATATACTCCAGCTCTCCATACTTACCAATGCTATCACCAACCAAATTAGGGTTTACTTTTAAAAATGAGCTTCCAATCCACGGCCTCCACCCCTAACTACTACCGCGGGATTCTCAGAACTTGTTCGTGTGGCCAGAAAACAGTAATACTGAAGTCAACAACTGTTCAGAACCCAGGAAGGGAATTCTACAAGTGTTTAGCCGCGAAAAAGGTAACAATTTTTGGACAATTTAAATAAAAAAATCAACCAAATTGAGACACTAAACTTTACTAATATAGGGAGATTATGGCCATGTCTTCGAGTGGGTCGACGAAGCTAAGTCAGAGGAGCTCGATATCTTAACCGAAAGGAACATGACTTACAAAACGAAATTACCATCCTCAGATCTGGGGAGGCTAACTTAAAGAGTCAGGTACAAACTATCCTCGCCACTATTCAGACCTTGAAGAACGAAGCACAAGCTATAAAACAACAACTAAGGCTTTATGCTTACTCTACTGCCTCCTGCTGTATCGTTGTTCTAGCTGTTCTTCTACTCAAGTATTAATCCCTTTTCTTTTTAACGCCCCACCTTGTTCTGGGTCACATGGTCAACGATGTGTACATTGTACTTTAGTAAGCTGCATGTGATTCAGATCTGTTGATCAATTACCTTAGTTCTCATTGCAATATACATCATACTCGATTAACGAGAACGAAAAATGACGAACAACAATTCTTTCCCTCAACTTTACTTATAAACGAGAACGAAAAATTATAAACGTACTCGAATTTTCATTAATACAGCAAGTAAAAGGTTTACAAAGTTAAACAGCAAATGCAAGGTTTAGCAAGGTAAAGAGGTCTGACTAAGATGACACAACCACAATGCCATCAACGGTTCATCGTCATAACAAACACTTTGGCTAACATCAACACGGCAATACATACGACTACAAACAGAACCTTCCCGAAAAATATTTTTCGAACCAGCTCAAGCTCCATTTTACCCGTACAAACAACTGTTGCCTCCAACTCTTTCTTCAAACGCTCAATTTCCTCCACCGAACTCTCTACGCTCCGCCACATTTCCGGAACATCAACGGGCATTCCACACTCCCTAAAAGCAACAAATCTAAGCCTCTCACCATCTTCCTCCACCGTCTCTTTCACTTTTTTCAGTTCTTCCATCATGGCCGTATCCCACCATTTAAAAAAACCACACCCTCCACCCTGATAAATCGGAAAAAAATTACAAATACCAATAAAATCAACTAAAAAGACAATAATCAATTACTTACCTCATCTTTTTTGCAACAGAAAAATCTTCGACCCCTTTCCATCTCAGCAACGGACAGTTCGATGATTAAATTGTTCCCACAAAAATATCTCAAAGGGATTCCCAATCCACGCTCTCTGACTGACGTAAATTCATCAAATGCATCCATATCTGGAACCGCACTTCCAGATGAACTCCAACTATAGCTGAACGACATCCAAAAGAGGAGAACTAAAACCCTAACCCAGAAATGTAAAATAGATTATTAAACCTAAAAAGACAACTACAGCCAACTTATAGAGAACTTGCTCGTCATCTTGACACCTAAGTCCAAATCAGAGACACTGCACATTAAATACCAAAGCGGATATGCAAACATATAAGGCATGCTTTATGTTCGACTTATTTTGTACTGTTACTTTCAAAAATCATCTTAAATCTTACTTTATCAATGCGTCTAATAACCAATTTTAAAATTTATATCACAATACAGTACTTCACCATTAAGTTATGGAATGTCTAAACAACATATTTAACAAAATAAACAACAGCTAAACTAAACAAATACAGAGTACGGCAATACAGAGTACAATACCAATATTAAACTTAACAGATAATTCGAGCACCCAAAAAATTACATTTGCTACCAGAAACCCTGCCCGTCATCTACTATAAAACACTTGCATAAACAGATGTTACTCCAACATCGGAATCACGCCAAAAGAAAATAGAATGCCCTTCATCTATCATATCGGGTTTTTGCATCGGGTCCTACTATGCCCAGGTTGGAAACATCTGGTACACTTGTTCGGTACTGCTTTTTGCTTCCTCACCACCTACACCAAAAGATATCAAACCTTATAAACTATATCATCAGCGACATCACACTATTAACAACAAAACATATAAAACTTACAGGCAACTCTCCGGTTGATGGTATCCTCACAGTTGGTGGACGACCTGATGGTCTCCTCGTGCGTGGAAGGAACATAATAAAATTACATATTTCATCAGGTACATCTACATCTTTAGCATCGCCTTCAGGATAAATAACGCCTGCATAAGTATCGATCCAAGTACTTGTCTTATACCAATCAGCCACTAAACTGTCCCAAGGCATTCCCAAGTGATCATCAGCAATCAATGCATGACCGCAAGGAAACTTCAGCTTATCAAACATCTTGCATGTACAACTCCTATCAGCCAAACAAACGAACATTTTCCCACCACAAGGATCAACTATTTGACAGCTAACATTAGATATATTGTTAAGCTTACTCCCTTTGCAATTTGCAAAATTAACCAACATCTCTTTGTCAACCTCAATGCTCACCATACCTCTTCTTTTCCTTGCTTTCTTTGTTCTAGAGGCAAACCATCTACTCATCTTGAATAAACTGCAACAACTCCACTATTGGTGAAGATCTGCCTTTCTTCAACGCGTTGTTAAGTTGCTCACAGCCATTGCTAGTCATTAGGTTATATCGGTTCCCGCTAAAATAAGCTCTACTCCAGTGAGCAGGACCTATACTATCAAGGTACTTTGCGCACGCTGGACTCTTTATACGGATAATACTCATAACCTCCTTGTAAGCTCCAAGTTTATAACAAAATGCCGCTGAACCAACCATCTTAACGAAACCTTTGCTCTTAAACCTAGAAACAACATTTCGCTCCAGGTGAACAATGCAACAGCCATGATGAGCCAATGGAAATACTTTCCTCTTTGCAACATAGATTGAAGGGCAACGATCAGAGATAATACTAAGACATTTACTGTCCGCAATCAAACGAGCTACATTTACTAGGAACCAGGTCCAGGCAGCATCATTTTCACTATCAACCACAGCAAATGCCATTGGGAACACTTGGAAATTTGCATCTTGTCCACAACAAGTCATCAAAACGCCTTTGTACCTTCCTGTCAAATGAGTTCCATCCAACACTAGCACACGCCTCACTTTCCTGAATCCCTGTATCGACGCCCCAAATGCAAGGAAACAGTACTTGAATCGGACAATACCATCATCATTGTTCTCTGTTTCCAATGCAGTTACTATACCCGGATTAGCTAGCTTAATCAGATATAAATACTGACTAAGCCGCATATATGAATCACTGTCTTCCCCTCTAGTTCCCAGGACCGCAAATTCCTTGGCTCAGTGGCATTTCATATACGGAGCATTAACCCGCAGATCTTCCAATACCAACTGCTGTAGCGACAATGCCTTCAGACCATCTTCTGGATTCCCGTATTTCAATTTGTAGACATCGGCTATAATTCTAGAAGTTGCCTTCTTCCAAAATTTGTTACGCGTTTCAAACGCACAAATATGTTTCAAATTCATCTTCACTAGTTCATAGTATCCACAATCTTTAACTTCATGCGCGAGAATTCGCCAATCACATTTCCGATCCGTGCAGCTGACAACAAAATAATTCTTCTTCGTGGTCGACTGATAAAATGTGAAGATGTGCTTAATAGCATACAAAGCCAGACCGATTCTACACTCCTCTTTGCTTGCATAAATCTTGCCCACATAAAGACGGTCGTCGTCCCCAGACAAGTCTAAGTCAGGCATATCGACACTCTCATACTTAGTATCGTCGAACAAAGGAGGAATATCAAACTCCTCCACGTCAATCTCAGACATAGTCCGAGCCTCCACAAGTGTAGATCAATTAATATCAGGTACAGGTGTACTGGGCCATTCTTCACGGGGGGGACCCTGTCCCGTGACAGATCAAAAGGATTAAAAGGATCGGCCCCTGTCCACATAGATCTAATCCAACTTGCTCATCCATTGATGTTGACAGCAAATCGTAACACATCACCTCAGAATGAGCCCGAGACCAGTGCTTAACACCCAAATGTTTTAAGTACTCCCAACATGGATTACTCAAATCCTTAATCTGTTGGAAGAGCTCCGTAAAACGCCAGAGTGTATATGCTTTAGCTGCATCACTTACCAACTCTCCAAGTTCTATGTTTCTGAAATGCCAATCAACATAACTTTTCAGATGTTTAAGACAGATCCAATCATGTGACAAAGGATATACCATCTTCTTAGCTTCCCTAACAGGCCCACGTAACGGGGAGACCATGAAAAGCTTAGAGGTGTCAGGTATCAGTTCTTTCATCTTCTTGAGAAACCATAACCACGAATCCATGTTTTCCATAAGGACAATACCAAAAGCCAAAGGATATACCTTGAAATTAGTGTCCTCACCACAAGCTGTTAGTAGTAATAATTTAAACTGGCCACCTAACTTTCTCTTGTTTAAGACAATCACATCCCTAATCATCCGAAAACCAATGTGGGTTGCTCCAAAAGACAAAAACAAATTCTTAAAACGAACCTGCCCTTCCCCAAACGTTTCGGTCCCTATATCAGCAACGGTACCTGGATTGGCATATTTAAGTCGTCGGATATATGCGGGAAATCCCCTAAAGGCTTCGGATTCAACGGCTGCCACTTTAGGTTATGTAATCTAAAACAAAACAAATGTAGAGACATACTTATAGTACTGCACAATTTTGGGTCTCTCGACAACTAATGTCCACCAAATCTCTTCCATAAACTATGGTCCACGGTTACTGCTGTACTTACAGGCAGTTTCAAAGAAGTCAACCACAAGAAGATCAAAAACCCACAGCAATTGGTTTTTAGACGACGAATACAGCGGCCAGGTTACTAAATCAAACAAATCCGAATCAAAATATCCTCTAACTATATATCGTCGGTGCTTTCGATTGAAGCAATAGTTCGATAAGAAGAGTAAATTGGATGAGTAATAAAACCGCCGCGATAATATCGCTGGAGTGTAATAATTTTGATACAGAACTACCACCCAAAGCCGCCGGGTAATATTGCGAACCCAGATAAATTGGATGAGTAAAAAAGCATGTCTCAAAATATTTACTCAAATAATATTCACCCCAGCGGTTAAAACTGGACAGCGTTAAGGTGGAGTTGAGGGTGTTCTTGTCAATAAGAAAATATAAACAGTTGTTAAAGTCCACTTGTTTCTGGAATTCACTGAACATGTAATAAAAAGTAAGAAAGTGGGTCAGCGTGATAGAAACTCATGTAGAAATGTCAAAAAAAACTCTTGCATATAGGTTTGCAAAAGCTGCAATATTTTATCTTTTCTTATGTCACTAAAAAACAAAATAGACTTTTTTTTTTCACTTTTAAAGCATCTGTAGTGTGAATTTCTCAAACACTCTCTCACCTTTAAAAAAAAGAAGAAAAAAAAGAAGGATAAGTCTTTCAAATGAGAGACATAAAGATTCATAAAAGACTCTAAATCATGTGTTCTTTAATAATTAGTTCAGTTCTTTTTTTTTAACTAAAATTTAATTATAAACCTGAATTCTATTATAATATGAACATCATAAAATTTAATTTGATGAGAAACTTAAAATGAGTTTTCACCACTGCAGATGGTCTTAACAAACCAGATGTCTATCACCACAATTAAAACAGATGACTATTTTTTATCTATGTTAACAAACCAAATGACTATCATAACAGTTTTAAATCATTAGATCTGACAATTAGTTACATTTACAACAATATGCAAGAATTATTCATTAGTAAAAACACTATTGAAACAAATAGTCAACTACATTCACACATGTACATAAATTATCCCAAAAAGTAGTGAACTACTCATTTAGTAAGCATCACAGTTATGTAAATATAGGTGCTCAAATAGATTACTATTGATGAAATAGTCAACGACTAATTCACATAAAAAACAAATTTGAAGCATTAAAACACCATATAGTTATGTAGGTATTCGAGTATGTGACTACTAAATAATAGTTGTATACATATAGATCATTACTTCATCATGAAATCCCTAATGATAAGCACATGAGAAAAAAAATTAAAGCATCATAGCATCATAGTTATGTATGTATTCAAGTAAGTCACTACTAATGAAATAGTCGAATGTAAACGACTATACATGTATACATATAAGAATTTTTTTTAAAGCGTTAAAGCATCATAAGTATGCTAATGTAGGTGTTCAAATAAATGATTACGACATGTAGACAACTAATTCATCATCAAATTACTTACTGTAAATATATAAGGAAAAAAATTGAAGCATTAAAGCTCCATAGTTATGCACGTACTCGAGTATATAAATACTCGTATAAATGTATAAGAGAGGAAGCAGATCTAATCGGCTAGGTTCGATACGTATTGGTCTGATTTGCTAAAGATGTTTGAGAAACCGACGAATTGGGCAATTGGCATCCCTTTAAAACCGAACTAAATTACCTTTGACCTTTGTAATCTTAAAGCTTTTTTCGAGCAGTTTTAGTTTGTGTTTACTGTTTAACCACTCATAGTGTAAATGTTTGTGCCGAGTCTTTTATAAAAAGAACACGGATAGGTGGTTTCTTTGTTTTTCCATGCACGTAAAAATGAACCGGTATGGTTCGTTCTCCGGAGCAAGAACCATATCGACCGAACTTGATTTAGCTTATGGAATTATTGACAAAAAGAAATGAAAAAAGTGAATTGAAAATTATTTTTATAATTCATAGTTGGTCTCCGCATCGCTTGCTTCTTGCGTCCATCACGCACACTTGTGGTGTTTCTATCAGATTCCATTCTAATTCGAAATGGCGCAGAAGCTTAACTTGGCTAATCTCGCCGTCTCTCCGGTTACCCACCGCTCTAGTTTCCCCTCCACCTTCACCTTCGGCGTCGCCACTTCCGCTTACCAGGTCTCCCCGATCTGGACTCTCATCTTCTTCTTTCTAGATTCTGCTTCGTCTTCTCTACTTTTTGGTGCTTTCCAAGATTAGCAAAGATTAACCCAATTTCTCGATTCGCTTTGATTTAGGAAAAAACTGAAACTTATCTTACCCTTTTACCTCAGTGGCATCATTTGACTAGTCCTTCATGTAGAGAGCTAATACAAATCGGATTTAAGAAGCGTAGATTGTTCTTTATATTGAATGTGGTTTGAAGTTTGTGTAGAAAAGGCTTAACCTTTTCTATTATTTTGTAGAGACTTTGATGCATTACATGGTCAGTGTTGTATATGAGACATTACATTCAAATTTTTGTAGCTATGATTAAGAAAAAGATGAAATTTTTGCTACAGTGGCATCATTTTTCTAGTCCTTCATTTAGAGAGCTAATACAAATCGGATTTAAGAAGAGTAGATTGTCCTTTGTATTGAATGTGGTTTGAAGTTTGTGTAGGAAAGGCTTAACCCTTAATAAAATTTTATAGACATTTTGATGCCATACATGGTCAGTGTTGTTTGAAAATTTTGTAGCTTTTCAGTGACCTAAGTATTGATTGTTTGTAGATCGAAGGAGGCTGGAATGAAGGTAAAAAAGGGCCAAGTATATGGGACAAGTTCACTCATCTTGAAGGTCTGTGGTTCTTTCTCAGCTTTTATCCCATGTCAAACGATTGACGACAACTATGTAGATTAACAGTTTGTTTCTGTCTTTATTTAGGAAAAATTCTTGATGGAAGTAACGGCGATGTCGCTGTGGATCATTACCACAAATATAAGGTTTAGAAAAGTGACCTCTGTTTTTTCTTAGTACTATGGGGAGGTTTGATATGAAAGCTTGGTAAATCTGTATAAGGGTCTTCTCATGTTTCCTTATTTCTTCACATATAACATTGTGATTCCAATCATTTGCAGGAAGACATTGAACTTATAGGACAATTAGGATTCAGTGCTTACAGATTTTCCATATCGTGGTCTCGCATTTTCCCTGGTATGTTCAACTATATTGTCATTTAAGTTTGCTACTTTGTTTCTTACTTTTTATCCACTTTAAACTGAAATGTCGATATTCTTATACCGTATTGTGGTTCCTCACCTCTCTTTTGTTACGACCCGTTTTTTTTCCTGTCTTTGTCAATCATATCTGTCTCTATACTTGCGTGGTGGTGGTTTCTTATGTAGCATATGTGGTCGCTTCTGACAATGTCAAGTAGATACATCTTTGCATGAGAAGAACTTTTTTTTTTTTTTTTTTACTTTGTATAATGCAAACATTTGCCTATATCCCACTGTGGGAGGTTGACTTGCTTTGGAACCTTCATCATTTGATCA